TGTCACCTTTGGTGAGTCAAGGATGATGGGCTTGAGTGGTGAAGGAAACCTGTTTGGGTTGTGAGGAATTTTCATATCTGGAAGGGATTTTTCTCCTCTTTAATTAAGTTGCTGGTGTTTGCCAACTTCTTATCTTAAGACACACTTCGTCATTCTCAGCCTAGATATCAAAATCAGCAGAAAATCTGTTGTGTTCTTTCGTTTTATTGTCTGTGGGTTCGCTGGCAGGTCAGGGACTGACTGGTTGGCAGGGGGCATGAAGGGCAGAGGGGGGATGGCATAGGCTCTGTCTGTCTAATCTGTCCATCATCTATCTACTGAATAAGTAGTTCTTGAGAATCACATATTTTTTCCTCAAAATTCACTTCTGGTTCTTCTCTTAGGAAGAATAACCTGCCCAGGTGTCGATTCCTATTTTTCTACACACTTAGAAAAACCTAGATGACCTCAGTCTATACTTTCTGATATAGAGTTTAGCTTTTTTGTCTGCAATTAAAGCTACATCATGGAATTGGGTATGTCTAGTTTAATGAGGAGAAGGACGAGGGGGGACATGATAGCAGTCTTCCAAGATCTCAGGGGCTGCCCCAAAGAAGAGGAACTCCAAAGCGCCTGAAGGCAGGACAAGAAGCAACAGATGGAAACTAATCAAGGAGAGAAGCAATCTAGAACTAAGGAGAAACTTCCTGACAGTGAGAACAATTAGCCAGTGGAACAACCTGCCTCCAGAAGCAGTGAATGCTCCAACACTGGAAGTTTTTAAGAAGAGACTGGACAGCCATTTGTCCGAAATGGTATAGGGTTACCTGCCTGAGCAGGGGGTTGGGCTTGATGACCTCCAAGGTCATTATTATTATTATTATTATTATTATTATTATTATTATTATTATTATTATTATTATTATTTCCTTATAAGTATTGTAAGAAGAATAATTTTATTAATATCTGCTAATGTCTGCTGAAAAATAGTCAAGTGTATTGATCAAGTTGAGCCCTTATGCCTACCGTGGAATTATATGTAACCAAAGCTGTAGGTTGGTTTTTTTTCATAACAGTCTGCTTTTGCAAACTTGCATATTTCTTTAGTTAGACCAGGGGTAGGCAACCTTGGCTCTTTTATGACTCATGGACTTCAACTCCCAGAATTCCTGAGCCAGCTGGCTGGGGAATTCTGGGAGTTGAAGTCCATGAGTCATAAAAGAGCCAAGGTTGCCTACCCCTGAGTTAGACTATGAAACGAATGCATGGGAATTAAGGAACTGTTATGTAGGTTCCATAAAGACATGTGTTATGACGGTAATATGGAAAAATGAGGTCAGAAGAAAGAACGAGGAACTGATTTAGCTATTGTTAGAATCTCCGAAGCCATGTGCTTGTGGTTTTAAGGTATAAAAGAGTGGCACTGAAAAGGGGTGGGCGCCATTTGATCACCAGCTGTCACTCTCTTGATTGCTTGCAGATCTGGTCCTCCTTGCAATGGGTTCTGGTATGTATGTATTTGTTTTCTGTTCTAAAATTCAATAAACCTCTAGGTCCTAAAACGGGTAGGCCACCTTGGCTCTTTTATGACTCGTGGACTTCAACTCCCAGAATTCCTCAGCCAGCATGGGGGAACTATGACCCCTTCATGACTCGTGGACCCAACTCCCAGAATTCCTGAGCCAGCATGGCTCAGCTTGGAAACCTCTCCCTTTCCCCTCAGCATGGCTGGCTCAGGAATTCTGGGAGTCGAAGTCCACGAGTCATAAAAGAGCCAAGGTGGCCTACCCCTGTGTGCTGTCTTTTTATCTTTACCAAGTTTTTTCCCCTGGCAGTTTTCACCCACTTCATGCCAGAAAATCAGATATCTATCATTCCTTTTTCATTTGGTTTCCTTCCTTCTCTATTTCCTTCCTTCCTTTTTCCTTCCTTTTGTCTATTTTCCTCCTTCCTTTCCTTCCCTCCCTCCCTCTCTCTTTCTCTTTCTTTCTCTTTTTTTCTTTCCTACCTACCTACCATCTTTGGGACACATCCTATGAAGACAGAACCTGCCTCCAGAAGTTGTGAATGCTCCATCACTGGAGGTTTTTAAGAAGAGGCTGGACAGTCACTTGTCTGAAATGATACAGATTCTCCTGCTTGAGCAGGGGGCTGGACTAGAAGATCTCCAAGGTCCCTTCCAGCTCTATTTCAATTGATTGAAATGGTATAGGTTCTCCTGCTTGAGCAAGGGGCTGGTCTAGATGACCTCCAAGGTCCCTTCTAGCTCTATTCTATTCTAGATGGGGCCCATAGATATTGATCTCTGTCGTCCATCATAGCTTTAATCAGTCAAAGCTTTCACACAACACTCGCATAACACACACACTGAAAAAAAACCTGGGCTTTCTTATTTCTGTGGGCCTGAATATTTCTCAGCAAGGAGTTTGTCAGAGTAAGATTGAAATTTGCTATATCCTGATTTAATCCCGGTTTAATGAATAAACCGTGGTTGGCTGGATGATCAAACCACAACTTAACTATAAGCAGTGCTTTTCAAACCACTCTGACTGGGCAAAATCAACACACTTAGTCTACACACCAAACAAACTGAATTTTGCCCTACAAATTGAACAAATTACTGAGTTAATTAGTGTTTGTTTGTTTTTTGCTGAATTAACTTTTTTGGATTTGCCCAAGAGGCAAATTTGTGTTTGCATAATACGATAAACAACAAAAAGGAAACTGAGATTAAAAAGGAGGAAGCCAAGCCCTTTGGGCGACTCCTTTGCTGGGGGTTCCACTATCCCAGGGGTAGGCAACCTTGGCCCCCTCATGACTCGTGGACTTCAACTCCCAGAATTCCTGAGCCAGCATGGGGGAACTATGGCCCCCTCATGACTCGGGGACTTCCAACTCCCAGAATTCCTGAGGAGCATGAGGGAACTATGGCCCCTTCATGACTCGTAGACTTCAACTCCCAGAATTCCTGAGCCAGCATGGGGGAACTATGGCCCCTTCGTGACTCGGGGACTTCAACTCCCAGAATTCCTGAGCCAGCATGGGGGGAACTATGGCCCCTTCGTGACTTGCGGACTTCAACTCCCAGAATTCCTGAACCAGCATGGGGGAACTATGCCCCCCTCATGACTCGTGGACTTCAACTCCCAGAATTCCTGAGCCAGCATGGGGGAACTATGGCCCCCTCATGACTCGGGGACTTCCAACTCCCAGAATTCCTGAGGAGCATGAGGGAACTATGGCCCCTTCATGACTCGTAGACTTCAACTCCCAGAATTCCTGAGCCAGCATG